TTGGGACACATCCTCACTTCCTCCACCACCCCTCAACCGGATATCCTTTTCAGACGATCTCGTGCTCAGAGTGTCATCAAGCCTGTTAGGTCCAAGCTCTTTGGCAACCGCAACATTGCTTTGCGGATTCGGCGCAATGTTTTGAGGTCCTTGGCCGCTTCCCGCTTTGTTCACTCCAGCGCTGCAGTTGTGTTATCTGCAGCCATTCATGAGCGTCAGTGGGATCGTGCTTACCTCGATATATGGAGAGTGTTGCTTCCGCGGACTTCGGCGGACAATCAGGCCCACTCGCTTGCAGTTCTTGCTGCAGCACAGGCTGCTTCTCCTCCTTTAGCCCTTGCGGTTTCTCGTGCCCGCTTCCTTCAAAAGTTGACACTGCATGGTCCGGCGGTTTTGCGTACCGTCCTTTATCAGCACTGGCAGCGGCACAAACGCAGCTCCTGGCTGTCTCAGGTCGCTGCTGACATCAAACTCGTTCTCCAATATCTGCCCGACCTCGGTCCCCTGCTGGACGGCGAGCAGTCCATTTGTCGTTTGTTGGATGCCATCCACAATGAGCCGTGCTGGTGGGTCCGCAAAACCAAGGCAGCTGTTGCTGTCTTTCTTGAAGACCTCAGGCCTTGGAGCGAGCTACGAGCCGATCAGAGACCTGCCAGTGGCGCAGAGGAGACATTTCGTGCCGATGTTCCTCCCGTTGAACAGGCTGACGTTCTTCCTTTTCGTTGCCACCTATGCTCCTCTGGTTTCAGGCTGCGTAAGCACCTTGGTGCTCACCTTGCGCGTACTCACAAAGTCTGGAGCCCATCGCGACATTACACTTTGGCAGAGTACTGTCACAGCTGCCACAAATGGTATGGGTCTGCCTCACAAGTTGCTCAGCATCTGAAGCAGTCGGATGCTTGTCTCTGGCGGCTTTGTCACCTCTTTCCCCCCCTGGACGATAACCAAATTGCTCAGGTGGAAGGGGAGGAGAAGTCCAGACAGCGGCTCCTCAAGAATGGACATTGGAATGCCTTTGTCGGAGTAGGGCAGCGAGCCCTCTTCTACGGGCCCTTG